CGAACACCGATACTTCACTAAAAGGAGAACAGGAAATGATATGTTGGAGGGCAAACGATGGATCGACATGTTGAGGTTATGCAACAGCATTCTGATATGGTATGTTTTTCTTCAAAAATGTTCAAATTATTGCAATGATCTGCTACCCACCAATGTTAATAACTACAGTGGAAACAGTCCTGCCACTCAGTGACCTTAACACAGCTGGGAAACCTCAGATCGTCCACCTCTGCAGTAAACACCCAGTTCTGTTCTGGGCGGGTCTAGAAGTTCTGTTCTGGGCAGGTCTAGAAGTTCTGTTCTAGGCAGGTCCAGACTAATCTTTTCAATTCTCCCACAGAAAGTAAAACCATAAAACCACGAGAGATGTTTGCAGTTGAACTAGTATTACAGGAAACAGCTTTTGTTTTCACTAACGGTTTATGCCTGAAGCGTAACTTCTTAACAGTTTAAGACCAAAGATCTACAAAATGATCTGATTATGTAGATCAGGTCATTTCAGGTCACTTAGTTTATTTAGGAACAAGTTTTCTTTAAGGATTGTGCTTCCTCCAGGCCTTGGGGAAGGAAGCCATGATGTAATCTTGCCAGGTTGAGATTTGGAAGTTCTTAAACAAGAACAGTTTTTCTTATAAATGTTTTTTCTCCTTCTACTATAAAACCTGAACAGGTCAACATAGAGTTGGTTTCAAATTCACTCTACCTACATGATGACTCCTTCAGCTTCAGATATTAGTATTTTTATATTCGTCCTACCAGCTAACTCAGGTTGCTGATGTAAGCAGATTTCTTAAACTGAACTGTGTTTTACTTTGCTTGTTCAGATCATTGTGTTCTCAGTTAAAGCCACAAGAACCCGACTAAACGAACTAACTGGAATCAAACAGACATATTTAATATACTGTCTAATTGTTGGAGAACATCAGCGGTCATTTTCTACATTTTTCAGTAGCTCCTCAATTGTATTTAGGTCTGGACTTTGACTAGTCCAGAGCTAAATTCCAAGCTGCTTTAGTCCCAACCATCCAATAATATATCTATCTGTACATTCAGTGTGGTTCTCAAGCTGGCATCCCAACTTTGTAGATAAAAATCGTACATTTGGTGGACAGACAATCACTTATTTGCTTCTATCACAGCGACATCCTGTTTGGAATGAACCAGCTGCCTCAGCAACCCTCAGCGATCCTCAGCGACCCTCAGCGATCCTCAGCGACCCTCAGCGATCCTCAGCGACCCTCAGCGATCCTCAGGAATCCTCAGCGACCCTTAGGAATCCACAGCAACCCTCAGCGATCCTCAGCGATCCTCAGCGATCCCTCAGCGACCCTCAGCGACCCTCCGCGATCCTCAGCGACCCTCAGCGACCCTCCGCGATTCTCAGCGATCCTCAGCGACCCTCAGCGACCCTCAGCGATCCTCAGCGACCCTCAGCGATTCTCAGCGATCCTCAGGAATCCACAGCGACCCTCAGCGATCCTCAGCGACCCTCAGCGACCCTCCGCGATCCTCAGCGACCCTCAGCGATTCTCAGCGATCCTCCGCGACCCTCCGCGATCCTCAGCGACCCTCCGCGATCCTCAGCGACCCTCCGCGATCCTCAGCGACCCTCAGCGATTCTCAGCGATCCTCGGTGACCCTCAGCGATTCTCAGTGACCCTCAGCGATCCTCAGGTATCCTCAGCGACCCTCAGTCATCTCAGCAATCCTCAGCCCTCAGCGATTCTCAGCGACCCTCAGTGATCCTCAGCGATCTCTAATTATTTAATCATCTCCATCAACGCCATTCTTTGCTGATTCCTCTGTGAGAGTATCTGTTTTCCTTCCCATTAAACTGTCTCTGATCATGTTCCTCGACCTGTTCACCTGTCAGAGACTTTGTTATTTCTAAACCTCATCAAACTAATTCCAAGTGTCTGTCTTCATGTTGACCCGACCCAAGCCAAATATAACATACACAAAATAAAAATAATGATACTTCAAGGTAAAATCAGATTAACACATCAGTGTGCCGCTGTGCTTCGTTATGATGATGATTCCTGCAAGTGAATATTTCGACTCCCATCAGCATCAATCAAGACTTTGTTCTTATTTTTTGCTTCATTTTCAAAACCTACCAACAATAAAACAATGTTGCATTATCTGATCAGAAATTATTCTTCTATTTTAAATGTTTACGCCACGCCAGCCTCCATCCATCCATCTTTCATTCCTCAGCTGCTGCCTCTCCAGAGGTCAAAGGTGAGAGGTGGAGTGTAATGAAGAGGCCTTCATTACTGAGTCATTTATTCAATGTATTGTATAGCACTGTAAAAAACATTTGCACTTTGTCACTATGGACTTTATTTAGCACTGCACTTTAAAAGTAGATCTGTAAATGAATAACATTTTGCACACAAAAGTTTTAATTGTATTTATTGAGTATTTTAGGGATTAGTGTGTAGCCTTTGTTCTTTGACTGTGAAGAGGATAATTGTTACTCAGAGCAATGAGCTATTGGTAGATAAATTTACTTAGGGTCGCTAAGTAAATGATGTGCATAATTTATTAGGTGTGGAGTGTTAATATAGAGTGACTCTTTTCTGTGTCCTCAGGATATTTGGACAAATATTGTCCTAAGGGGCTGGACAATGATATAGGTCCTGGGAGAGACCATTGAGAAGAATGGGACAGGGTGTACTGTTTTATGGTGTTTTGGTAAGGATCAAACATTAAAAAAATTTATAAAAAGGAAGTTGATGTGTTTGTAGTAAAATGTATTTTATTTAATTAAGTGGAACAGGGTAAAATGGGATTCCCTTATGAATTTACCGACTGTTTGATCTGTCACAGCTGGGATTATTTAAGATTGTAATTTCACCTGTGATACTTATTGAGATACAGACACTGAGATTGTGTGATACTGAGATTGTGACTTGTGTTTCTGATGGTGGGAGGAGTAAACCTGCTGTTCCACCTAACGCTGCCTCATCTCGTCCATCTGCACTGAAAAATCCAGCCGAAAAAGGCCAACCTGTTACACGGGGTCACCTGGGCAGGTCGCCAGTCCATCGCAGGGTAACACATGCCAGCCGTTCGTTCTGTTGCCAAGTCAAGTCTGTGATTCAACCAGTGCAACAGATAAAATGTCTTTAGGAACATTTCATGCCTGTTCTGCAGTTTGGATGAATTCAGGTCGATCTGTTGAAGCATCTGCTGGACTCAAGACTCACAAGACACTTTCTCTTAGTTTTCATTTGTAAGTTTTAATGTATTGTTAAGCAGTTTTCAGTTGAACTTTAACATTGTGCTTTAATTGAACCATTGTTCTGTCTGCCATGTTCCTCAGCATGATGCTGCATGTTGTTCACCACTGTCTCGTTTTCTGCAGTGTAATTTGACTCTTGATCTGCTAATACAGATGAATCAGGCTGAGTCTGACTGTAGAAGAACCGGTTAAAGACACGTCCATCCAGAAGCAGCTTTCCTGACAGAACTGTCACTTTCATCCTCTAACAGACATTTACTCTGACTTACTTTGAGTATTCTTCTGTCTTTATACTGTAATGGCATCCAGTTCTGCTGATTAACCAGTGAATGCACCTTTCAGACAGATGGTTTCATACAACAATTACTTGAGACGCACTCACTGATGTGAAGGTGTTTTATGTTCGATTCATGTTTTATTTGATAATTTCTTTGTTCATTTTCTTATATCTTTATTGAGCTCATTTGTTATTGTTGTGATTTTGGACTTTGGTTATTTTTAAATGTTTTTGTTCAGGTTAATTTCAGGCTGTTTCCTTTATTACTAGTTTCTCCTCTTTCCCTCAACCTTCTTCTCAACGCAGCTGTTTTCCATCTCCTCTCTGATTTGCTGTTCAGGTTCCTTTGCCACTTCTCCCCCAGTGCTTCATCTCTTTCTGCACTGAGTTCTTTGTTGCATTTAGAGATGGGAAGTATGAATATTTTCCTGTGGTTTGACTCCCAAAGAAGGTTCTGTTATCTCCCAAGCTGCTCTTAACCTATTATTATCTGTAGCCTCATTTCTTAGTTAACTTGGTAAATATGAATGTTGTACATTTAATAAATCTTTTTTCATTTAGTATTTTTATTAGAAGCCTTATACATGTCTGATTTTATGTATGTGTTCTGTTATGAACAAAGGCATTCTTAATTTTGTGCAATATTTTAATCAAATATTACATTTTTATTTAGCACTAAATCAAATTAAAAACCACTGCAAAGAATCAACCCAACAGAACCACAATAAAATCATGGATTATAGTAACTTTACTACAGCCAGTCATATTTCTGGGTTTTTGCAGTGAACTCTCCTGCTCACCTGAATCTACGAACAGATTCTGCACCTGACCGTCGCGTTTCTGTCTTGCAGTGCGGATGATCGAATCCTCAGGGGATTGGCCACATCCAGTGGATATGACGGTCACTGCATTGAGGTCAGCTCCTAAAGAGGGTGAATATGTATTAAATCACTTATAAATCTTAAGTTTTTTTATATTATATGTTAAGCATTTCCATTTGATTTTATAGAAATCTCTTTTCAGCGTGACCTGAAAGGTTTTTTGTTACTTGTTACACAGGTTGAACCACCAGACTGTGAGCATAAAGTTATAAGGATGTAACAAAGATTCATGGTAGATTAAAAAATCAGTTATTTCATCAGAATTTAAAAATAATTTCCTTTTTGTTGTTTGTCTCAGCTATTTGAAACTATTCTGGTTCTTATGAGGTTCTATATTTCACACCATATGAAATATTCCTCTACAAATCCTTTGCCCTTGATTTTTTGATAATTTATTGTAGCTTAGTATTACTATGCTAGTAGTAATACGCTGTCTGATTAATTCACGCAATCATTTTCCAAATATTCAAGATTTTGACAAATAAAAATGTGTAAACAAAAGATTAAAGTCTGTTTGTTAAAAAAAGACCCAAAGACATAAAGTAATTTTTTATTTTATTTATAACTATTTATTTCAAACAAAGCATTGATCAAGTGCAAGGGGACAAAAACTAAAATGAAGCAATGCAAATTAAAAACAAAAAAAGAAATTAAACTAAGGTGTATTGAACAACTGGCTTTAAAAACATCCACAAATTTCCCTCACTTACTTTTTTATTTTCCAATATATTTATGTTCTGTAAAATTCATGATGAAAAATTAAGACAACTACAGACTTATGTGAAAATCTTTTAAAGACTCAATACATTACATAATTCTCAGATTAAGCATAAAAACATGGTTCAGAAAGGAAATATACATCTATTTAGAAAATATAAGATTTCAATAGTTCACAGACATCAACAATTAACAATTAGTAAAATAAAACTAATCGAAGGATCTATTATTGCAGATTACAACATTTTTATGTATTTTTATTTTTTGAGAAAAGCATCACCAAAGTTTTCTGAAGCCCAGTGAGTCAGAATGATAATTTCCTTGTTGTGGTTCTTCTTTGTCTGAAAGATGAAAACAGACGATCAGAGAGTAAATCATGAGGATATTTCCAGTTTATTTCAGCATAAACTTTCTGACTGACAGGCTCTTACCCTCTCAGGACTTTCTCTATCTCACTGCTTGTTCCACCAGCATAAAGATTAAAACATATTTAATGGTCCTTTACTTAAATATATATTTAAAATTGCTGCTGTCTATTCAAGGTGAAATTCCTTCTTGATCAATGACATTTATGAATCTCCAACCAACACAATGATTTCTATGAAGAAATGTAATCCATTCAGTCTGTACCAACCTTTTTTCTCATCAAGTTGATTTTCTGATTTAATTTTTTCTAGTATCATCTCCCTAAGGGTTTATTTTGTGGATCTTTTGCATTTCTGTTCTCACAAGTTAACATTTAGATTTTTTTCTTTACCTTTTATTCTACTGTTATTTTAAACACTTTATGTATTTCAGTTACTGGCTGTGTTAGGGTTAGGATTATTCACTCACCTGTCATTTCAGACCTAACAGGTCTAATATGGGAGGTGGATCTATCCCACTTTCTGGGTGAGTTCGGGATATACATCTATTCCACCTAGAGCACTGTGCTCAGTGTCCAAATATTGGATATGATCGACTCCACCCAGCGCAGGGTTGTTAATATTTGGAGGCGAGTCGACTCCACCCACAGCAGGGTTGTTAGTATTTGGAGGTGAGTTGACTCCACCCAGCGCAGGGTTGTTAGTATTTGGAGGCGAATCGATTCCACCCACAGCAGGGTTGTTAGTATTTGGAGGCGAATCGACTCCACCCACAGCAGGGTTGTTAATATTTGGAGGCGAGTCGACTCCACCCACAGCAGGGTTGTTAGTATTTGGAGGTGAGTTGACTCCACCCAGCGCAGGGTTGTTAGTATTTGGAGGCGAATCGACTCCACCCACAGCAGGGTTGTTAATATTTGGAGGCGAGTCGACTCCACCCACAGCAGCACACTCAGGATCTGAAGACAGGTCGACTCCACCCACAGCAGGGTTGTTAGTTTCCTCTGGAGCAGAAAAAATTTCTTAAATTAATATGAAGTCAATCAAATTTTAAACACAAATATTTTTCTTTTGTTGCTCACAGACGTCAGAAATGATCAGATATGGGTTTCATATTTCAATCAGCCTTATGAGATCTAATTTTAATGTTATTTAATGACGATAATGAGATAGGGTTAGCTGCTCATAAATGACTCAAATAAATACAATTCTGAAAACAAATGGTTTCGACATTCAGAGAATTAGAGAAGAACTGGACAATTTGAAAAATACTCACGTCGATACATATTCTGATCACTTCCTCTTCCTTTACAAAAAAACTGTTAATTTGAAAACAAAAGTTACATATTAAGAAGAAACTAAGATAATATATTTATTCTTGTTCTTCTGGTAGAATGTCTGTGAATAAATAGCTGAACTTACTAATCCCATGTTGCTTACAGATCCATATGTTGCTGCTTCGTTGCAGAGAGAACTGGAAGCATCTGAGTCCCACCTTAAATACAATCCTCCTCCTTTCATTGACCACGTCACGTACAACAATCCTCATGACGTTTCCACAACTGTTATCTCACTTCCAGGCTCAATAACTTAGTCATTGAATAGACTTCCAATATTTAACTCGAATCATTTAAAATAAAAACGTGTACTTTTCTAAATCCTCATCTTCACCTTCGAAGGTGAGCTACGTTCCAGCAGTTCTGATAGTTAAAAATAACTACATGCAACTACCCCCAACTGTCCTTCCTTGCACACACCCTCCCAGATAAAACAGATTCCCGCCCACGATACAAGATCAGTATAGCAAAACTTCCACATACGTGTTTTTTCTTCTCATGTTAACAGACAAATGGTTCAAAGTTCTGGAGGAGTGAATCCTGAAAGCTGCAAATTGCTGTGTTTCTAGCCTCTGGCTGCCTATGTTGTTGTTGTTTTTATTATTAATATTTATTGGATGAGTTGTACTGCAATGCCATAAAGTACATGCATTCATACATTTATTCATTGGATAATCAGTTGTCCTATAACAGTAAGTTGTTTCTCTGTGTACATGAAGCAGATTGGCAGCGCCAAGACCTTTCTCCTGGCTCTGACTTGTTGTTGACAGGGAACGGTGCAATTCTGTACCTGTCATTAGTTGGGAGGAAGAGGAGGAGCTTGATGTTTTCACAGATTATTTGTCTCAAAATAAATTGTGGAAATATTGTGGTAATTTTAACAAATATGTAAAAAAAAAAAAGCATTTTCTATAAAAGTTGCTTACTGCAGCTTTAACAGAAAAAACATTAGAATTAACATCATCAGTACAGCTTGACTCAAATATACAGGGTTGTTAGGCAATTGACCCCAAACTACTCAGAAAGATCAATTGTCTGAAATGCAACAAAATTGTGTGTTGTGTAGGTAGAAGATTGCAAGCCAATAAACTAAACTCCTGGCTGGCTCGCCAATAAGTGGAACCCTTTGTGAACTGAGTAGTCCAGGATACCAACTGAATGTGTAAGAATCAGCCTGATTTGTCAGGAAATTACCACACTATTATGGTAATTTCTCTTTTAGATTTTCCTTTATGCTAAAAATTTATTAGGTAAGGCAATGTTTTTGCAAGGGTCAGTACAGCTTAATTCAGTACCAGAAATAATCAAGTAAGAAAAATACATCCTCTCAATCTAACATATCTTTCCCTAACCTTGACACAGAACTAAAAAGGGAAACTTTGAGAGAAGGAATATAGAATATCGAAACCCAGAACTGGCTTGATGATGAAGAATTTGACCCTGCAGGAAGAGCCTCACAGGCTGATCGATGAAGGCAAACACCCCTGCAGGTCTGAGGAGCTTTCACCTTTGCATGGATGCTGAGTTTCCTTAGGCCTTGGGTGTTGGCAGTTAGAGTCCTGATTTAGAACAACAGGTTCCTCTTCTTTGCCTTTGTCCTTTGTCTTGGCCTTTGGCTTTGGAATCTAAACTCAGATGATGAGAGAAGTCCAATTTGGAGCCACATGTTGCAGGACTGATGGGTTGGTCCCCATACACAGGACAGTCTTTGTGGCCCAGGCTCTTCTTCAGCTGCAGAGTTCTTTGTCTATCCCAGGGGTGGCCAACCAGACAACGACCAAGAGCCACATTTTTTACCAAGTTACCGCAAAGAGCCACATCATATGCATGGGCACACATCAACCCATCATTTCCTCATACTCACATACTTTTGCTCAGCCAGATTTATTGTAAATTTCACTCACTATTTTAACACTACAAGGACCACAGGCCAGACATTTTCAACAATGAACACTGTGCACTTCCTCATCCAAACAAACTCAGTTTATGAACAAACAAAAATGAACAAACAATAATAGAACAATTTACAAGACATTTTTCCTTTTAATATTACGGAGCCCCCTAGGGGACATGGGGAATTTTTTTTCTTTTGCATGCCGTCGCAAAACTGTGAGGGGACGCAATACATTTCCGTCTTGCGAGGGGATGCAAAAGTAAAAAATTCTCCATGTCCCCTATGGGGCTCCGTATATTATGTGCATTACATGTGTTATTTAATGGAATGAGCTGAAGTGGCGCTGAAGGTTTGAAGCCTTAAAATGCAACAAGGACACTTGACATATAAGGCAGAATGGCTTTCCACTACGTTCAACAAAAAAAAAGAATTCTCCCACTGTCAAAACGTCCTATGTTCATCTTCATATTTTTGTTTTCCTGCCATTTTGAGCGCGAAAGGTTTACTCAAATGATTTCACTTTTACTGAAAAACTGCGCACAGACTTCCGCTTCCGGCATGCCTGAGTAAAGACGCTTACGGACTGCGCTCCGACCGAAATAACTCTTAATTTGCCTGTTGCAAGAGTAGAAATCCACCTATATATCCAGAAGACGTTGATACAATGACCTCGTCACAAAAGACTACAAGAAGAGAACAGAAGATGGGGAAAGGCGATGATACGAAGACGACACAAAAACAGCTAACACTGGATGCTAGCTTAACTCAGAACGACATGGGGAGTGAGCTGCTAATGCTAACAGAGCTCCGCAAATTCCGAGAAGAGTCTGGAACTGCGCAACGAGATATTTTAGAGTCTCAAACCCGGATGGAGGCGTCAATTGGAGAAAAAAAAAAGAGAATAGACACTGGAGCGACTGAACACAGCGGAAAAGAGAGTGAGTCACACAGAGGACCGAGGCCTACAACAGGAAAGGGTGCTAGCGTTCTTACTCAAGAGAGACGCCAGATTAAGCGCTAAATTGGATGATCTAGAGCACAGGATGCGCAGGAACAATAAGAATGTACAGGATAAAGGAAGATTCTGAAGGGAAAGAGATGATCCCGTTTATTACAGATCTTTTAAAATCAGCGCTGAAGCTGCCTGAAGACACGGAGATTTGCATCGAGAGACGATCAGAGCTGCAGGCCAGAAGCCGAAACCGACATCACCACCGAGATCCATAATAGTTCGCTTTTTGGATTTCAACGTTAAACAGATGATACTGCAGCGTGCGTGGAAGCAGCGAGACGTGGATTTTCGGGGGAACAGAGTTTACTTTGACCAGGACTACTCCATTGAAGTGCAGAGAAAAAGAAAACAAGTGCGTGAAGTGATTAAAAAACTGAAGGAGCGCAACATCAAGGCACAATCACCATACCCCTCAACTTAGACTGTTTCTGGATGTCAAGACCTTCTCCTCTCTACTGGAGGCCCAACCCACTCTGAAGGAACTCGGGATCCCGGTGGAGGTGGATGAGCGGGACGTCCTGGAGAGAGAGCTACTACGCAGCCATTGGCAGACCCAGGGGAGACGGAAAGGGCCGATCCGAGTCAGGACATCAGGGCCATACTGAACTTAGCGGATCAGCACAAGCAGGGATGAGATGGTAATGCTCACATGGCTCTGCCCCAATTTAACAGATATTTTAATCAAAGGTGGATCATCTAAGATCATAAATAAGGACATGCAGGCATAAATATATACGAATATTTCTGGACTGTCGGTTAGCGTGTACGCAGTGAGTGCTTTATATATTTTTTCTTTTTCTTTTAACTGGGCATTTAGCGCAGCAGAATAGGAGGCTGTGTGGACTGTTGCTTACACACTATGTGTACTCCGCCCAGGGAGACCACTATCCCTGTCCATTTTACACCAGGAGTGTGCTGCCCGGGTTATTCATGAGGGCAGCACATGGAATAATTGGAAGTTCTATGAAGATGAAGATCTGACTACTTGTTCGTTCTGTTCATTGTTTCTCGGCGAGCTGATTTTGACTGTTAGATATATTTGCACAGATATCAATATATTACTGAAGGGAAGTAAAAGAATGTTTTGTTTTCACATAAATATGACAACATTGAAAATTGTGACTTACAATATTAATGGAATAAATAACGCTATTAAAAGGAAAAAAATCCTAACGCAATTAAAAAGGTTGAATTGTACAATTGGGCTTTTGCAAGAAACCCATTTGAATGAGATAGAACATGCTAAATTAAAGAGAGAGTGGGTGGGACAGATATTTAGTGCATCCTATGGAAACCATAAAAAAGGGGAGTAGCAATACTATGTCATAATTCTTTATGCTTTGTAGCAGAAAACGTACTCAAGGACAAAGATGGCCGCTGGATAATGGTTGTTGGTTCAGTTGGAGGAACCACTCTAACAATTATGAATATTTACGCCCCAAATGAGGACAATCCAGGTTTTTTTAAAGAGCTAGCCCAAATTTTAGCAGGACATTCGAAAGGAATGATTATTTTAGGTGGAGACTTTAATTGTGTCTTGAATCATTACATGGACAAATTTCCATTAGAACAAAAATATCAATTAAAGCTGCAAGCAGCCTCGAACGGCCCTCGCAGCCAAGCGCCGCTCCGGCCTATTGCCACCGCGGGGTACGAGCAACCGCCGCCTCACGCCAGCCACCACAGAAGCTTTCACGCAGTTTTCAGCGCCTCCGCCCGCACCGCGGAAGGTGTTGCTCAGTTTCCATCAACGCTGCGCACGTGCTAAGACAGAAGTTGTTGCGCAGTTTCCGCGCCCGTCCACCAGGCGGTACGCATCTATGCGTTCGGCGGCTATCCTTCACGATGCAAAAAAATGTGGTATAGATTCATTGGTTTAGCGAGGAAATATAGCTGGCGGATTAATTGAGGGGCAGTGGAGTCAAATACATTTCAATGCTGTTTTGCTCTTTAGAGGTCAACAAAGGTCATACGTATCCAATTTGGCGCCAGTCCGATGATCCACGTTTCATTTAGAGCCGATTATATGCACGTGGCGAAGAACTGCAGTTCGTCATTTCTACACCCCAATGCGGTTCGGTCAGCAGCCAGCATTCATAGAGTTCATCATGTTATCGTTTTTAGTCAGTATTCACATGATGAAACCCATATAAATTCTAGAATAACAGTAAAATATACAGCAGAAAAAACATGTGACTGCCTCTTAAAAGTGGGCGGGGCTACAGTGAGGTCATCAAGTGACCATGGAAATGTGTTCAGGCTGTTCTCTAGAAAGACAGAGGAAGTGTGATGATGCAGCTGTGATCGTGCATTTGGAAGTCATTTAATGTTGATGTTTCATGGTAAATAGTGAAAGTTTTACACTAAGCCACCCACATGCTTTGATGTTAACTACAACTGAGATCTAATTGCAGTGCAACTTAACGTTATCGTGAAATGAGTCAGGAAAATGGTGAAGGTTAAGAT